AATGTTAAGAACAACCATACGCGCTCGTTCATTGTAATTTAATAGTTTCAGGAATGTAACCGGGATCTGGTCTGCACCACGAGTCTTATTTCTGTGAAAGAGCTTTTATAGCCCTGGTTGAAATTCAGAAATGTTTATTAATTTATTCTCCTTACCGAGAAAATCTAAAACGATTTTCTCGCCTAGAAAAATTCATGGAATTCATAGGTAGTATCGTTGAGTACACAAAAATCCTCTCAGCAAAAAGAGTTGCCTGAATCTGAGGAAGAGAAATAAATCTATGAACTTGAAGAATATTCAGTGCTTATTGAGAATTCTTCTGAACTGAAAATCTTTTCAGGATATCGTCAAAGGTTCTTGGATTTAAAACACTGTTACAGATTGTGTCCAACAGCACATCTTAGTTTTATATGCATGTATAGTCAAAATTCTCAACTAAAGAGAGATGAATATTCACAACAAATAAAACTGAAAGAAATTAAAATTGCAAGATAACCAGACATTGAAGGATTTATGAGAAATTAAAAATATAATAAGGTTTAAAATATAAAATGTGTGTGGATGCTACATTATCATAAACATTACTGACTTAGGACAGCTTTTACATATATATATATAATCGGAGCCAGATGGAATATTACTTGTATCGAATATATAATTTGGGAGACATCACAAATGGACTTTTTTCAAAAATATTTTATTCAGTATGTAGAAATTATGACATGTACAATTTCCTCAAGGCGGAAAGAATCTATATTAGAGATTTTAATTTCTCGAGTATTTTTGGAAATTATGCTAGAAACAGTATCAGAGAGAGATATTGCGATTTTTATAGCCTGTATTAAACAATGTAGATTTTTCTTACTTTACGACTAATGGCCAGTCCACTCTTTACAGCTTCATCTTTGTAGGCTTTTAAAAACTAAACTCTTCGATAATAAGGCAGTTATTACTATTATAAGAGCTTTCTAATGCATAGGTTTCATTGTATCTGTACAGGCTAGGGGAGCAAAGGGTAAGAGCAAGGAGAGAAGCAGCCCCAATATTGTTTCTACGCGTTGGAGCAATAGTACTAAGGAGAATAAAAATAGAAGCCGTTTTAACCATGCCATAAAGTCTTTATTATATTGTGAAATGTGAGAGAGTGAAAGCTATATTCACGTCACACTTTAAAGCAATACGAGGGCTACAGGGTGACAGAACTTCGAAATTTTGAACCTCGGTGATGTGATGAGAACGATACAGGAGCTGGTAAGCCCTCTCCTAACTACCACACCACATCAACGGGAGGGTATTGAGCTTCAACAGATTTTATGTGCATCGGTCCTTTCTACACGGAGGTTCTTCAGTGGCACCAGGAATTGTGAAATGTGACTGGAACCCATATAAATCAAAGTTAAAATCTCCAAAGATGAAAACCGGGTCTGACAGATTCTAAAAATGATTTTAGTAATAAGATATTGAGTTCCCGAGATGCATATAGATTTACTATGTAAAAGAAAATAGGATTGTATTACTATCAGAAGTCCTTTTCCTGGTCTGTAAAGTCTATCCTGTGTAACGATGATCTTTCTTAGAAATTGTAAGGTATCATTATAGGTTTCAAAAAGTTTTCCATAAGATCCAAATATCTGTCAGCGCAAAGGCAGGAATGTCAAGCCGCATTAGAGTTCGTTTTAATACCCCCCCACATTCCATTGCAGAAAACACATAAATAGGATATAAAAAGAATAATCCGAAAATTTCTTTCTTTCCCTTGAAGAAAAGTGGAAAAAATCCCCCCCTCATAATTGCAGAATACACTTATCTGCATTAAAAAAAAGGACAAGAGTCATGATAAAAAGCTGGTATTTCGATCTAAGGGTTTTAAGTTATCTGATATCGATGTTATTGAATGCATCACCCATGCTTGAGATGCCCCCAAAACGGGGACACAAAATTCTGAATCACCGAAATGTCTTTTTTCCCCTGTCAGATGAAGGTGCCGTTTTCCTACTTTTTAAATACTGCACAAATGTATAAACATTATTTCCATCGTCTTTTGCATTGAATTTATTATGGTTAGTGTTACGACCGGCATGTGCAGAGGACGCTAGTAGTCCTCTTTATTTGCATTTTTTCAGTATGCATGTAATCCATCCACGGAGAGGACTTATATATGTATACCTACCGTCTCTAAATAAACAAACGTTTTTAAAAATACAGTCCGCTCTCTTTGCTTGAGCAGATAACTTATATACATAACTCTAAAACTGCTCATAACTGTTCAATACATTACTAGAACTACCACACCATTTCTGGTTAAAATCAAAGCTATTGAGCATACCCAGTTAATGTTTGTCTTTCCAAAGCTACATGAAAACTGATTACTACGTTTTCAAGATTTTTTTTCAGTCTTGCATATGTAGGCCTGGAGCTGTTGGCTTCGGTGCCGTGGAATAACTTCCAGAGCGAGATTCTCGGAATTTTCGTCTTGCTTCACCCAAAACCAAATGATTTGTACATTTATATTCGAGTACCACTTTTTTTTCTTTGATGAAAACAGAGTACATAGAGGAATTAGCTTAATGATCTTCGTTACAACTTATACATTTCGGAGCATTTCTACATAGTCCTCAGTGGGTATCTCCATAAATAATACAGCTTGTATGATTTTGGCAGAATCGTGAGGAATGAGTGAAACTAAAACATAAATTGCCTTCGCGAGGATTCTCTATAACGATGTTTGAGGTTGGTATGACGATTAAAAAAAAACGAAGTTTAACGCATTCTGATACATTTATAATAAGAATAGTAATTATAAATAACTGGGGAAACTTCTTAGCAACTTCCAGATTTTACGAATCGTCTCTTCTCGACTACTTCAAGATCATTAGTGTTTTGTTGTTCGATCACCTAGTATGCCAGATGTACAGTTATAAGTAGTTTAGAAAGAAGAAATCGAGATGCGAGTCCATCCCATTTGATATTAGCTTTTACTAAAACGTTTTAAACTTGATCTACTGCTAGAATTTGGGCTTCGCATAAAGGGGCCGTGCAGTAGGGTAACGGAGAATATTAGGACCACCTTGCAAAGTCAGATTGTCGTCAGTCAGGCTTTGGGCTTCCTAAAACCATGGGTCCCCCCACGATGTGGGGGTGTATGTTACGCCACTGGGGCCATGATACTAAATTTGATCATACCGCTCCAAGTAAAGGATATATTTGTTATATTAGCATGTCTAGATATTTTGCTTTTTATAAAAGCATGTAAAAGTTGTAAAGTTGATTTAAGGGTGCAAGATGACTTGTATAGTATTCGAACGTATTTGAAATTCCCAGCTTCTGCCCTTTTTTCAGTCATTATTGGATCGAAGTTATCAATATCTTTTATCCGGTAAATGGAGTGACTCAGCTTGAGTTTCCGTCAAATAAAAAACGAAGAGAAAAAATCGGTTAACTTATACCAAAGACCAACCAGAAATTAAAGAAAAATCCTTGTGTATCTCTTTCTTAGAAGTCAATATTCTCTTAAAGTGTAATATCCAGTTTGGTGTTCAGAATAGTATTCGACAAAGAAAGCGCGCGACGAGAAGCAGTCGATTTCCATCCAAATATTCGTATTTATTTGTGTAACGGTGAGTGAGCCGGGACGTCTTAAGACTCTTTGAAGCCCTGGGCCTAAAGAAATATTAAGATTTTTTGAGGCCCTGGGCCCCTATGCAAAAGTATGCTTCACCTGAGATCTTTAAAAGTGGATAGTAGCATGCTTTGTCAAATACTCGTTCTAACGGTAATTTGAAACTAATGTGCCCGACTCACAATCTCACGTGACATGCATTTTGAAATTCCCTGTTTTTCGGAGAATGTGTATGGGAATAATATTTAACCATTCATTTTTTGGATCTTATTAAGGCTGGATCGAAAACGAGACGAGGCCTCCAGCGAGGGGGAGACTCTGGGCCTGGGCCCAGTTGGTCCATGCCTAAAGACATCCCTGTCAGTGAGTGAGAGTTATAACATCGCACTATAAAAGCAACACGAGGGCTCTTGAGAATGGACCTCGTGATTCTGAACTTCACTCAAGTGACGAGGACGATACAGGAGCTGGCAACTCCCTCTCCTAACTACCAACCACATCAGCGAGAGAAGATTGAGCTTCGACAGATTTAACGTGCATCGGCTCCTCTACACGGCGGGTCTTCAGTAGCACCAAGACTCGAGTCCGCGATCATAACCACTCGGCTACCACGGTCCGGTTATAATAGTGACTCCTTTAAGTTATTCCGGCTAACGTTTTCTTTTCTTTGCCTACATGAGTTCAGGAGCATTCTTGAGTTAAACATTTAAACAAGTACTAAATCTCGATAAAAGTGATCAGTGTTTCGTGTTATGTTTAGTTGTAAATGAAAAGAATGACTGTTCAGTCGCACAAAGATGCTGTTATCTTAGCTTCATGTATTTATAAAAATCAGAACAAAACAAAGCGCTTATCTTGCTTTCATTTAAGAAGTATATAAAGGCCAGTTATATTTTCTTTCTCAAATTCTTCTATAGAGCTTTAAGATTTAATGCGCAAATATTGTGAAGAAATCAAAGAATTCGCATCCTAGTTAAGAATTTGTAAATAAATATTTTGCATGACTTACGACTACTAATAGTGTTAAAATATATGAAAGAAATGACTTGTTAGATTTTTTTTAATAATAATAATTATAAATAAGTAATATATAAGAAAAATTTTCCAAGTCAATTCCTACTTAGGTCAGAAGAGAAAAATTTTATTTTAGTTACTTTTTATTAAATAGTTATACAATTAATATATGTATATGTATATACATATGACAGAATCACAATATTAAGTGACAAAGTAGAAGGTGGTCTTCCTAGCAATTTTCCATTTTCCTTTCTATATAGCGAGTTGGACTATTTTTTGTTTGTTTGTTACTATTTATTCATTCATTAAATTTAATTATTCTTATAAATAGAACAGCAAAAAATAAATTACATTCTCAGAAATTAGGCCATCCCAGGTGGGATTCGAACCCACCACGACCTTTGGATTAGGGGTCCAACGCGCTATCCATTGCCCCTACAGGGTCACAACGAACGATTTTCCTTTCTATATATGCGGTTGGACTTATTTTTGTTACTATTTATTCATTTCTTAATTTAATTAATGAATTAATATTTGAAAAAACTATTAACGTCTAATGTCATCCACTACAAGTTTAAAAAATGTATTAGGTGTAGAACTTTGCCTCCACCGTTTTTTCCCGAAATTCGAGGCTTTATAGTAAAAAACTGATTATTCATTTATGATTCAATAATTGCATTCGATAACGATCACCTGTGATTGTTTCAGTCGGTTTTAACAACTCATAATACACTACGTCGAGCTGGTCCTACCAAATGCCATGCTGGTCTTCGACGTCAAAATCACCGTTCTTGAAGCGTTGAAACCACTCTCGGCACGTTCTTTCACTAATAGCGGCCTCACCGTAGGTATTTGAGAGCATTCGATGAGCCTCAGCCGCAGATTTCTTCATATTAAAGCAGAAAATTAAAACCTCCAGCAAAAGACGAGAATTTGGCTCGTAAGCTGACATGTTTAATCGAGAATAACTTTATGATGCAGACACAAATCGACTAATATTTCGATGGCGTTATGTTTACAAATACCTAAGCTTATTGTATGACATATACGATCTATTTATTTCGTATACCACTTACCGCTACAGCCATCTATTGCAAAACGGCGGAAGCAAAGTTGTACATCTAATATTTGAACTTGATTGGATGAATAGAAAGTATTTTATTAACGATTGAAAATTTGAACAATATATAATTGGAGAGTGAACTATATAATAGCAGGAATTGAAAAAAACTTAAGAATCAAAAAGAACTAAATATAAACTAAACATTAAGACACACAGTATCCCACATTCCTGTCTCTCTCAAAGACTTTTTAAAATTTCTTTTAAAATCGACTTTTAAAAATCGTGTGCCTAAATCTTTGATTCATACAGCAACTTATTACATATAAATCAACTTTCTGTGTAACAATTCAACGCTGACGATTTTTGTTTATAAAATATCATCAAGCTTCGTTGGTTTGTAAAGATAACCATCATATTCAAAGAAGCCGAGAATTTTTTAAGGAAAAAAAAAGCTTCAAAAAAATTTAATTTGACAAAAAGGCACGAGCCTCCCGTTCCATTGTCATTCAAGGTATCGTTTCTCGGTATGCGATACCATTATCTATTGTGTAATATTTCCGTTCAGTAACAAGAGGCAACCATGTCATGGGTTCGAACCTTAGTGTCAATCAAAACCCACCCTGTAGAGAAGCCAATGTGCACGAAAAAATCTTTCGGGACACAAAGCCCTCCCATAGTTGTGGTGTGGAAGCTCGGAGAGGGAGTTGTCAGCTCAGGTGTTGTCCTCGTCACTTGACCGTCCCTCAAAGCTACGAGGTCCGAGCAAAATTATGAACCGTGTTGTACATGCACTGTGTCAAGGCAGATGGTACCACCGCAACTAAGTTTATTGACGCTAAACCACGGCCATCTCCATTCCTCGCCTGGAACTCTCAGTATGTTTGCTGCTAGCGCAATTAGTGGAAAACAGTCTTTCTTTACGAATGTGTTTAACATGTCATGTCAGGGTTCTGTTGAGGGTCCTGCAACGAGGGATAGCAACTGGGAAACATCAGTAAATTATCAGGCCGCTGGACATGAAATCTTGTCCACTCTCCCTCTTTCCACGTTAATTTCAGGTAGAAATAAAAAGTTCCTTTTCATAAACTCTGAACCTGTTTTACGGAACCCGCAGGGAGTAAGAGTTATATTAACAGTGCACTATGCAGCAACACGAGGGCTATTGGTTCTCGCTGGATCTAGTAATTTCGAACTTCGATCAAGTGACGAGGATGACACCCGAGCTGGCACCTCCTCTCCGATCTTCCATGCCACACCAACAGGAGGGCGTTTCAGCTTCGACAGATTTAACGTGCAACGCTCCCCAACACGGTGGGTCTTCAGCGGAACAAGGCTCGAACTGAAAGGAAATGATGCTTGATGCATTTGGAGGGCTAAGACGGCTTTGAGCGTGCGCACCAGTGGCGTAACGTTCACCCTCGTATCGCGGGCGAAGGGGCCTCATTCTAGAGGGCCCAAAGCCTGATGTAATGATTTTGCAGTCCTTTGTGAGATCCGACTTGGGGCCCAAAATCTGAGTTTGCAGGGGGCCTCTAATATTCTCCGTTACGCCACTGGTAGGTATTGAATACTTTTTTATGCATTCGTGTAAATAGTGTAATAAATGTTTTGTTTAATTGAGAAACACTCGAACACACATAATTTATTTTAGATTCAGTTTCTTAAATTGCAAATGAGTTCTAAAGTGAGATGCAACAAACACTTTGTGTAACGCATTTCTTAGTGTGGATGTTAATTTACCAAAAGAATTTACATATTCAACATTAATTTCTTCATATGATCTATTGGTTAAAATACGGATTGTTTTTTGCTTTTCTTATATAGCTCAAATGGATTCTCAAGAGATCAAAGTGAGTGAGGGAGAGTGCCTGAACAGAATCGACGAAACCAAAATTGCACGTAATTAGCTTTTACAGTATCGGCACCATAAACACCATTCACAATTTCAGCCTCCTGGCTTGCATTTTCGCCTTTATCAAAGAAAAACTGTAAAATGTACCGAATTTTCTCTTTGTTGGCTTCCATTTTTAACACTCTGTAAACTCGCAACTGAATGGACCTAACAAAAAAAAAAGCAAAAGGATTCTTTAGTGTGAAATGTGTCACCTTTACAACGAGCATAAATTTGAAATCGTTTGATTGATATTTCACGAGATATCGACACTACAGCCATCTACCGAAAAAATAATGGATTTCTTTTTCCCCAACCTAATATTAACATCGTCTTATAAGCCAATACTAGGGCTATTGGAGGTGGTTGATTGATTGATTGAATATTAACGTCGCACTGTTCAGCTACACGAAGGCTTTTGGCGACGGACCACGTAATTTTGAACCATGGTCAAGTGACGTGGACGACACCTGAGCTGGCACCCCCTCTCCTAACTACCACACCACACCAACGGGAGGACGTTTCAGCTCTCGACAGATTTAACGTGCATCGCTGCCCTACACGGCGGGTCTTTAGTGGTACTGGGCTCGAACTCGTCCACACGAACAGGACAATGAGTCTCTCGACAGATTTGAAGCGCATCGACCCCTTCCACACAGTGGGTCTCTTCAGTAGCATCGAGAATCAAACTTGCATCATTCCAGCCACGAGTTCGTGACTAATCACTAGAGGCTACCTTGGCCAGCAAGTCTTTTCAAGGGACTAAAATTCAGAACTTTTTAAAAATATTTATTGCTTAAATTTCCGTCAAATGATGAAAAAAATTTAATTATAGAGTCTAGTTTTATTTATTTATTTAAAAGAAAAACATTTTTGGGAGATAATTCTTCATGTAATAATATAAAAAAAATTAAATCAATTCCTACTTAGATCAACAAAGAAAATTTTTATTTTAGTTACTTTTTATTAAATAATTACAATAAATATATATATATATATATATATATATATATATATATAAACATGTATATACATATGACACAATCACAACATTAAGTGGCAAAATAGAGAGCAATTTTCTATTCTATATATGGTGTTGGTCTATTATTTTTTATTTGTTACTATTTATTCATTCATTCATGAATCACATTCTCAGAAATCAGGCCATCCCAGGTGAGATTCGAACCCACGACCTTTGGATGAGAAGTCCAACGCGCGGTAACCATTGCGCTACAGGGACACAAGGAGCGATTTCCTTTTTATATAGGGTGTTGAACTATTATTTGTATTAGTTACTGTTTATTCATTAAGTTTAACTATGAATGAATATTTGAAAAAACTGTTTTAACAACAAGTGACAGTAATCACTACAGGTTAAAAAATGTATTTGAACTTGAGCGGATGAATAAAAAGTATTTTATTAATGATTGAAAATTTGAACAAGATATATATATAAAGAGTTTTTTTCCAGGTATAGAAGTTTAAGTTGGCATTACTTTCCAAGATGGCGACCGATTTAACAGCTGTTAAGTGATTTATTCTCAGTTTGGTTTGGCAATTCATCAAAACGATCGTCAAGCAAGGCGTAGATTCGTCGAATGGGCCCAAAACGAGATTGCCGTTGTTCCCGATTTTCATAAGCGAATTTTGTTTAGCGATGAAGCGCACTTCTGGTTGAATGGCTACGTCAACAAGCCGCATTTGAGTGAAGCTAATCCACAAGTGTATGTCGAAACACCGTTACATCCAGAAAAACTGACAGTTTGGTGCGCTTTATGGGCTGGTGGAATCCTTCTTCAAAAACGATGAAGGCCACAACGTTACAGTCAATGGTGATCGGTATAGAGCCATGATTACTCACTTTTTCATTCCTGAATTGAACAATCATGATGTCCAGGAGCTGTGGTTCCAACAAGACGGCGCAACATGTCACACAGCTCGTGCCACAATCGATTTATTGAAAGACACGTTTGGTGACCGCCTAATTTCACGTTTTGGACCTGTGAATTGGCCTCCAAGATCTTGTGATTTAACACCGCGAGACTATTTTCTGTGGGGCTATGTAAAGTCATTGGTCTATGCGGATAAGCCACAAACGCTTGACCATTTGGAAGACAACATTCGCCGTGTTATTGCCGATATACGGCCGCAAATGTTGGAAAAAGTCATCGAAAATTGGACGTCCAGATTGGACTACATCCGAGCCAGCCGTGGCAGTCCTATGCCAGAAATCATATTTAAAATGTAATGCCACAAGATTATCTTTCGAATAAAAAAAATTCATGTCAATCGAATAATACATCGTTGTTTTATTGCAATTTAAAGTTCTATACCCCTAAAAAAAACACCCTTTACAATTACATGTAATACACATTAAATCATCCTGTAAATTAAATTTATGTAGAAGGCCTGGAGTGATAATCCTTTTACTGAAGATTCGAGTGCTCTTAAGATTTCTTCTCTTCGATTTTCTGTCCTCTTTGAAATGATA